TGCTAAGAATGGCAAGACCTACTGAACAATCCGACTACAATCCCCATCGAAACGTCTGGGAATGTACCACGTCCAAGGTCCGATTGGAAAGTATCATGAATACTATGAACTCCGGAAAAGGTGCGTTCCTCAAGGTAGTCCTGTTAATATTGCCAAGATGCGAAAACAAGGTCAAACAACTTCTAAACAACGAGAGGAGACCGCGACCATTATTATGGCCACAATATTTTGGACCTCCGGTTAAGCATTGTGTTCGACTATGTAGTACGCCCGAAATTATGTATGCTAAATGGGTGCTATAGAAATAACTTTTATATTAAATAATAGTTAAACTCATTATTATTAAATGGGAGCAGTCGATCTAAGAAATTTATCAGAGATACCTCATAACTTTATACACCGTAATGAGTACAGTAGACATTGCGAATTTCTAGAAAAGATACCTTCAACTCCAGATCTATTTTATTCTCAAAGAACATTGAATGAAACGAGAGCATTAGTACTAACCTTGGGATCTAGTTCATAAGCAGTGAATGAGTTACTTCGGACGTCCAAACATATGCTTCCTCAAATTCGGCTTCATTGAAGTCCTCATTTATACATAATTTTAGCAGTAACTCTGGCGAATTACATTAAGAATCTTTCAGTTTAAAAAGTAAAATTACGTCAAATTAATGATTTTTAAGGATTTCCATAACTCCATCCCTGAAATATCCCCAAAATTCTGCAAGATTATAAGATCTGTAAGATTAAATTCTTTAGCATGAAAAGAAGGGAAGGTTAAAAGATTCACCGACACTCATCTTTGTAGACTTCTCAAAATCTCTCTAGCTAAATTATACCCGTTTAACTAAAGAATCTTCGAGAGATTTTTCGGAAACTGGCTCATTGGAATACCCAAATATCTTTAAGCGAAACTAGTATATCATCACTTATGTTCCTGCTTTCTTCAACGGATTATATCCTTGCTCATGCCTCCATGTCGAGATTAAAGGAAACCTATGATAATGAAAGCAACAAGTTATTTAAGTTAACAGATATTAAGTTGGAATCTATGTAAGGTTACAACTCCGAAAGACTTCCAGAATATCATAGTGCTAACTAACAAGCATTTACAGAGTATTAGTGACTTACTAAGAGAGGGCGTAAGATACAGCAAACCCACCCAAATCATATGGTTCTCATAGCGATGGCTCCCCTTGTTCATAATGATGATGTGGATATGGTAGTGAGTTTGTCCTCAGTCCATCTTGAATTCGAAACCACGACGATTCTTGATAAAGGATTATTTTTTCCCTTCAACATGAAATTGTTACTTTGCAAGGTATTCATGTGGAGGTTGAAAGAGGCTAAACGGAAAATGAAGATTGAACTGACCCGGAGAATCTTGGCAAATCGAGAGCCCACAAATAGAAAAGAGAGAACAGTACCAATAGTCCTTCAGGCTGATAAGTGGGAAGCTACAGTGTTTATGGAAAGAAAGCAATGGACAAAGAAAATGGAAAGAAGACTAGGAGGTACAACCACTTTTATAATGTTAATGAAGGGCGTAAAAATGAAACACTAAAGTTGGTGAGACTTTTATTTCACATAGAAATGCAGTTGACGCAGTCCACGAGACATCCTTTCTCGTTTCCGATTGACAAAATGAAAGACACGCATTGGAACAGAGGAATCGACAGTTGGTTGATGAATACCGTAAATGTAAGGACGCCAGACGACCGACAACCTACGGATTTGTAAAGGTACACAAAGAAGAGAATCCACTAGTACTGTTAATCAACAGCAAACGTGGAGAAACAGATAAACTATAAAATTTTCTCGAAGATATGAAGACCAAGATTGTGCGGCCCTCGGTATGGTCGCCATCTCCTTTCAATTTATAGAAGTGGGCTGACCTGGTTGTCACAAGTTGGTCTTGTTGTCAGGGCGATTTAGTATCATAATTTCCAGCATCAGACAGTGGACTTGGTACATTTCCAGACGTTTCGCCGGCATCGTAGTCGACATCATCGGTGAGTGTTGCCATACTCGGCACCAAGCTGCAACTCGTCAACAAGACAACTGAAGTCAATCGCTCAACCAGCGTTCTGCCGAAACGGTTACACCATCAAGACTCACTGGTGATGCCAACCACGATGCCGATGAAACGTCTGAGGATGTACCAAGTCCATGGTCTGATGATGGGGAGTATAATAACCACTATGGCAGAGGACTTAGGACAAGGTGCGTTTTACTATGTCACTCTGACAATAAGACCAAGTTGCGAAAACGAGGTTAACCCACTTTTAGATAATTTTCTATTCTTTAAGAGTAGAAAGTGAATGAAGGATTTTCAAAAATCATAACAATCTCATACATTTTCACAAGTGGTAAAAGGCATTTATGGCTATGCTGGGAATTTTGGCATCGCAACTTGTTCTTGTTGTCAGGACGACTATGTAGAAAGCACCTAGTCCAAAGTCGTTCTACATTATCGCCCTGACAACAAGACCAAGTTGCGACAACGAGGTCAACACACTTCTATAAATCGAAAGGAGACTGCGACCATAACAGAGGCCACAACATCTTGGTCTTCATATATTCAATTAAAAATTAAAAAACCTAGATAGATCGAGATAGAGTGGTTTGGCTAATTATCTTTCATACTGATCCTGTCACTTTTGCTCGAGTGTATGCGTATGTGTATGTGTGCGTGTTAGCGTCTATATGCAGTACGGTTCCTAAATCAAAGTTGTCAAAAGTTTTAATGTCAGGTTCTGATCCTCAAGACCTGATGACCCAAGAGAAAGCATGAAAATCAAGTTACGAAACCACTTCGGTCAAGGGTCATTAACGTTTAACTCTCCAAGGAAAGGCAAGACTGGGGTTGCGTAATATGACATGTCTGGTTTGGTTGATGAGTTTGCTCTAACATGTTGGACGAATGTATGTGAAGTAAGAACCATCACCGAGCAGACAAATTGTGGCATAGCTATTAACGAAGAAAGTGTTATTTTATCTTTCCACACTGCTACAATGACCCACTTCCTCAGTACTTCGCTTATCAGGTATGTAAAGAAAAAAGAACGATATAGATTAATATAGCTTTTAAATTATGTCCACCGATTGTCACCAAAGCCTTCTTATCAAACAAAAAATAATTAATGTAGGCTATTGCCATAGCAAATACAACCTTACTTCTTCGATAATCCCACCACACAAGTATGATATGGGAAAGACAAGACAGGGATTTTGTGAAAATTCAACTTCAATTCCTTCATCATCTTAAATGAAAAAGGGTCGGAACAATCCCTTAATGAATTAGTGTGGCTTAAATTTCCATTTCGAGGGAAAAGTTGATCGGAGAATTCCCACCGGAAACCGGGTTCATCGGAATGGCGGGACAGTGAGCCAAGGACTTCTTCACACAATCCAATTGCCTTCACTCTTCTCCGACAATCGTCCTTTGGTTTCTGGTGAGATCAATTCACTAATTCCTTCCAGTCCAATTTTCCTTCCAAATGGAAAGTGGAGACACACATTCGCCTTCTCTTTCGGGAGCTGATAAGATGTCAAATTCAGAACCCTAGAGGTGTGGTCCGACTGTCTGTCTTGCTGTGAATAGATGTTGCCCTCTATCCGATTTCCAAATATTCTCAGGTAATTATCAAATCGTCAACTAGTTTAATTTTCTGATCTCTGTGGTGAGTGCCTGTGAGTCAAAGGCTCCTTATTGCCGTGAATTTCGCTCGTCCTTTTTAATCCCATTAGTAGGATTTGGAAATAAATTCAAAATCTAGCTCACACTTGAGGTTTTCCCTTCACATTTCTGCCCATTTTGGTTCCCTTCTTCCCAATTAGAACATCCAACTACTCATCGCGAAGTTAGTATTATTATATATTATAGCTGTCAAATGTATGAAGTTATCTAGACTC